TATACAGGGTGCTTCAAAAAGATTCATCTGATTTCAAAGCACCATATTTTTACAACCGTGAGGTGCCTATAGGAACCAATCACAATCCAATTGTAAGAGGGGGTCATAGAGTTTCTGACTGTCAGTGGAAGATGGCTCCCTTCAGTCTGAGAGGAGATGAGACCCCTGAGCAGAAAGCGTTCTGCGTTCTCCACTTCAATAAGAGTGAATCCGTCATAACTGTGTGGCGTGATTTTCGTGGGCAGTGAAGCTCCAACAGCTCAGAGCGTTCGGCGGAGTCAAATATTGTGATGTGTGCTCTGTAACATGAAAAGTATTGTGATGACAGATTTGAGTAGACAACCTAAACAGAGTCTGAATGTAAGAAGATCCAGAGTCGTCTTTGCTTCCTGAGAGCTTCAGGTTCTTCAGTGTGTACTGGTTACTCCTACAGGTTGTCTGTTGCTAGAACAGTCTTCTATGCTGTAGTGTGTTGGGGTAATGTCATACACACTGGGGACCCCAGCCAGAACAAACTGATTAAGAAGGCTTTATAATAATTCCCCTTTAATATTAGCACTAAGGTACACTAAGGTACAGAGTTACTGCGCTCATTATGTGAGTTCTAATGAACTCTATTTTTTTGTATCTTGCAAACTTATTCAATTTTATAGCTGCCGCTAATACTTTATGTATGTGGTCTACACACTTATTACACTGAGCTGACCACTTGGAGCCACTAGGTGGCACTCTACACTGGGTGGAAACAGACATTATACATGTGTGAACGGTAAAATGCTGTGTTTTTATTTCTATTAGGCTGCTCTTAATTAAGAGTGCATCCACTATCAATCACTCAGAGATGTATCCATGTTTTTTAATGAAACTAAACAACACTGAGTGGATGGAATGACTGGACTGGAGGAAGGAGTTCACAGTGGAGTGCTGCTCGGTGAGTGAGGTGACCCTCTGCTCCGGTACCTGTTGACTCCTCTCTGAAGGCCCAGTTCACCTGCAGAGCTGCAGTTCAACAGCAGCTACAACAGCCCTGCTGCACTGAACCGGCTTTCTGTGTCTTAAAGAGCTGCTCTGCTTATCTCAGCACCAGACTGAGAACCAGCTCTCAGAGGACAAGCAGCGATTTGACCACCGACCAAGGCTTTAATACTGCACACAGATATAGAATACTGAACACAGAATACTGAATGCTGAATACTGAATACAGAATACAGAATACAGAATACTGAATACTGAATACAGAATATGGAATACTGAATACAGAATACAGAATACTGAATAAAGAATACTGAATAAAGAATATGGAATACAGAATATGGAATACTGAACACTGAATACAGAATACAGAATACAGAATACTGAACACAGAATACTGAGTACAGAATACAGAATACAGAATACAGAATACAGAATACTGAATACTGAATACAGAATACACAATACTGAACACAGAATACTGAGTACAGAATACAGAATACAGAATACTGAATACAGAATACAGAATACAGAATACTGAATACAGAATACAGAATACTGAATACAGAATACAGAATACAGAATACTGAATACAGAATACAGAATACTGAATACAGAATACAGAATACAGAATACACAATACTGAACACAGAATACTGAGTACAGAATACAGAATACAGAATACTGAATACAGAATACAGAATACAGAATACTGAACACAGAATACTGAGTACAGAATACTGAATACAGAATACTCAATACAGAATACTGAATACTGAATACTAGTACAGAATAAAGAATACTGAATACAGAATAACCAATACAGAATACTAACTACTGAATACTGCATACTGAAAACAGAATACTGAATACTAAGAACAGAATTCTGAATACAGAATACAGTGCAGGGAAAGGATTCTGATTAGCAGTCACTCCAAATAATTTTTTAAATTGTTCAGTCTAGTGCATGGTTCTTTCTTTCGTTCTTTCTTTCATTCTTTTTTCTTTTTTTCTTTCTTTTTTCTTTCTTTCTTTTTTCTTTCTTTTTTCTTTCTCTCTCTCTTTCTTTCTCTCTTTCTTTCATGTGTGGAGGAGAGTTGAAGAATAAATGTTAGCTGAGATGAGATGTGTGTCTATTACAGTTTCCCTTTGGGGTCAGTAACAGTGAAAAGCCTAAACACAGGTCATCTTTATCTTCTCTGAACAACACCTTCTGAAAAAGCCTAATTAGTGCTGCAGTTCCTATAGCTGAGTGTGGTGCTCAGTGTGTGTTTAATTAAGCAATAAAGCATTAAATAAAAACATGCCATGACGTCCACAAAACATTATGTCAGAAGATATAAGGGCCTGTAAGTATAGAATATTAAAATATCTGAGACGAAGATGTGCTTCAGTTACAATAATCTTGCCTTAAACCTCAGTAAAAGCATGTCTTTATCAGGTTTAAGAGAAGCCGTAAGCTGTAAAGAGTTACAGCACCATCTAGTGGCAGATGTGTGATTTTTATATGACACAGCAATAGAGGTGGGGATCAGGATAATTATGACTCCATAGCTTCTGTAGTAAAGAAAATGGTTCACTTTTCATTTGGAACACTTTTCATTTTCCTTTGCATGATTAAATGGTTGGGCATATATTGTGGCGGTGGAGAGATGGAGCCGCCGTGACCACTCCCCACACAGGTGCGAGCTGCTCCTCTCAGCTGTGCCTAATGAGGAGAGGAGCACGGACTCCTTTGAAAACGAGCTCTCTCTGGAGAGTAGCAGAGGACGCTGGCCTCGAGACCAAACGCAGGCTGGAGAGGAGAGGAGAGGCGAGGCGAGGAGAGGCTGCATAAACCGTCGTGGAGTCAAGTTTGGGTTTTGTTTTTGTTTAGATGTGTAAATGAAGCGCGTTTGGTCCCTCGCGCTGGTGTTTGTGTGCGTGTCTCTGAGCTCTCGTTGGGTTTCCCGGTCAGTGTGCGTCGACCCCTCCCCCGGCCGAGCCACAATATGTATGCGCATTTTTCCAAAACAACAAGAACTTAAATACTGTTGATGTTTTTAGTAATAAGTCCAGTAAGTCACTCCAAGTCCCGTGTGTTAGTTGTGAGCACATTTTCTGTTTTTAATAAATGTTGTGTTCTGCCACCGTAATAGAACCAATATGGATTTATTATCCTGCAAATTTCAGTGCACACTTTCTATTTATTTGCTGGGTTTAACAAATGTGAAAAAATTAAAACAAAATAAATACAAAATATGGCATAACTTTTGTACAGGCTGCATCTTGTTTTATTTCCAAAATGTTAAATTCAGTAAATAAACAGCAATTGTGTATTAAAATGTACAGTGGTGAGTCTCTGTAGAAGATCTGTAACTTAACCTGCACAAACCTTTGCATGTGACTATATGTACAATAAGACACTTTCACTAAATAAATTTGACAAAATTGAAGTTCAGAATTATTGCTATTGTTATTTTAAAAATATATTCTGCATTTTCATGTATAACCTTATATTTTTCCTTAAAACACTAAAGTGATATAAATCATGATAAAAGATTGATTTTTTTCATAAATAAGAGAAACACTGCAATGTTTTAGATTTAGATTTCAGTTTTTTATTTTATTGTTACAGTTTGATTGGTAGAAACCTTGGAACAATCGTGTGGGAGGAAGGGGGAAGAAGGAGGAAAAAGGGGAAGAAGGAGGAAAAAGGAGAAAAAAAGGAGAATAAGAAAACGGGAGAAAAGGAGAGAAAAAGGGAGGAAAAGAAAGAGAAAACGAAAGAAAAGGGAAACATCGCACCCCCAGTTCCCTTTGGGAAGGTTTAGTCGACGTTATATGCCGTGGTGTTTTTAAAAAGTTACAAATTCCCACCTCGATGTGAATTTCAGGACGGGCAGACATGACCGCCACGGCGGAGGATCGAATCCCGCCTCGGACAGAGTGGAAGTTCGCAACGTACAGCCGCAAACTGTGTTTATGCTGCTGAAAGTAACGTTGAGTAAGGGGACATGAATGCATTGCAGTATAATGTATTAAATTATGAAATGTATCATTTCCCTTCAGTGATTTAAATACCATTAATGTACATTATAATTATATAAATATAATTTTTTCCTCTACGTAAATTACACAGATTATGTTACTGTTCTTTGACCACATTTCCTATATACAATAATTGTGTTTGTAAGCATGTTGATTCCCTTTTTTTCATTATGAGATTACACAAAATTAAATTATAAACTGTAACTTATATTTGTTCTTCATTGATTTTACTTGTATTATGCTTATTACTGAACACTGAAAAAAAGGGGTAACTATATAAAACAGTGATGCTGTAACTGAATTGCATATATTCATTGATGAACAATCAAAGAGTAATACTTATAAAAACACTGGGTGCTATAAAAACAAGTGAGTGCAAAATATGTGACAATTTGAACATTTGCAAATATTTATTGATGAACATTGATGAAGGCAAACCAGTAACTACAGGAAACAGTGTTTGCTATAACTTATGATCAAAATGTTTACTACTGAAGAACACTGAATCAAAATCAGTTTAACTATAAGACAGTGGATACTATATAACAGAAAGTGCAATCAGCTATACAACAGCAGGTGCTATAAATTAATGCACAGGCTCAACTATTCTCTGCCTCAACACACCTAGTCTAGTGGTGTGTTGAGGCAGAGAATAGTTGAACCTGTGCAGGGCAATGTGTCCCCAGAAGCAGAATGAAAGCACACTGATTTAAATCACAGTAACCACTGTGTGTAGTTACAGTAGTTTACTGTGCAGCACAGTAGGTCCCCATGAGCAGGATCAAGAAAAACTGACTTAGACAATCAAAAATATTCAGCATTGATCAACATAGAATAGAGGGTGGGACAAAACTATAAATAGTTGCTTATCTAAACAGTAGCTTAAATAAATGCAATTATTGAACACAAAGAAATACAATAACCATCTAAAACAAAGGTTATATCTCACACAAGCAAAAGTGCTAAATATTGATGAAGAATTATAATATAATATAATATAATTAATATAATATAATATAATAACCATGAAACAGTGAAAGCAATCACTTAGAGAATGAAAAATGCTTAATACTGATACTGATGAATACCCAAAAAGTAATACAATATGGAATTAATTATTAATATAATAATTAATTCTATAAAATAAAGATATACTATACTATTATTATAACTATAAATCAGTAAGTGCTATAAAACAGTGCAATCAATTATAGAACAAATACTATAATAACATAGCATGATTACAATGTAATATTATCTTAAAATATCTAGACAAGTCAGATATTTAAAAGACAGATATGTTAAAATGTTATATATGTATTAAAAGCAATGAGTGCAATCAACTATAGAATAAATAATAATAATAATAATAATAATAATAATAATAATATACCATAGACAATTAAAGCAAATATATATAATAGCATAATTATAATATAATATCAGAATATATTATTATAGCTATAAAAGTGTGGGTGCTAAAATGAAGTGCAAGCAACATAAAACAGTAACTACTTCCGTCTCATCTGCTCCAGCCATTCCTCCTTCGAGAGCGCCTCTGTCGAGGGGCAATAGATTGTCCCTTTATACTGGCTGTGCCCTGTCCCAGCAGTCCTGTACTGGCCACATTTCCTGCAGGTGTTTGTGAGGACTTTCTTTTGGTAGGGTTTTCGGCGAGCAGATGCGGTAGAAGTGGTGGCAGGCGATGCTTTAGAAACACTGGCTTGGGTAAGGGGATACTGCTGACCAGGAAGCGGAATAAAAGTAATTACATGGGTTTGTGGGGTACCAAAGAGGACAGGAGGCATGGAAGATGACGGCAAGAACTGAGGAGGCCCTGGGGTTGGAGGCTTTGGAAAAAGCTGCCTCTTTGACGCCACCTTGGGTCTAACAGCTGCTGGGGCAGCCGCAACTGCATCAGTTGCCATCTTCTTAGTTACTGCCTGTCCCGTTGTGTTGTCAGGTAGGTGATAAGTGTGTGGCTCACCAGGTACCTGTGGAGTGACAGCAGGACGCACATTTGCTGCCAGGAGAGTCTCAGCAGCCACCGGGACCCGACTGGGAAGGTCAATGCCCTGCAACACAAGGGCATTGTCTTGCTTTTTCACCCTGCGGTTGTGCCACTGGTTCAGTGTTGTTTGGTTAACTTCCACCAGCTGTATTGATGTTTCCTGCATTATGGTGCCGTTGCCTAAGATAAGCTGCCGTATTTTGCGGTAGTCCTGAAGAATCAGTGACCATCTTGTGAGAGTGGTCCGCCCTTGTTTTTTTGGACTCTTGTGGAGGCCACAAAGCCTTACAAAAATGGCCTCAACAAGACGGCAGCAATCCGGCCACTGTGCCAGCGGAGCAGTGGTGGTAAGGGCGCTTCTCTTCAAGCTGTCCATCCCAGGAGTAAATTCAGCCCTCTTTTTAGGTGACCGGAATCTCCCAGTTGTCAGCTTATCTTGGTGCCTGGCAGCAAACACCACCCGCTGCTTGTCGTAATCAAGCATGTTCTGCCACAGGGCCACAATGGTGCTTGCCTAAAAATGAAGAAAGAAAAAGTATGAATGTTTATGCAGTCAGAGATACCACAAATCTTTATGTGAATTATAAATGTGAGAATGAAATAATGCTACATTTCTATTTTGCACATAATAAATGCTACTAACCTGCTGTCTGCTGAGGGTCAGAGATGTTTGTGTCCTGAGCTCCACCAGATACTCTGCCAAGCTGTCTACCCGATCCATACCTGGCATGCCATGCTCATCCACTGCCTAAAACAATACACAATTAGTCATGAATGCAGTCACTCGGAACTGTGTAAGTATTATGTTTTTTGCTATACGTTATATTTATGATTAATATTTTAACACATTATTCATTATATTTATTGTGGTGTCTGTCGTGTATTTATATGTATATAACACATTTCTTTGTAGGTCAACTAAACTGAACTTTTTGTATTGACAGTGTGACTGTACTGATAATGGTACTTACCAAATGCTCTTCAGGGACCTGCTGTGGGTCACCTGAGACACTAACAGGAAGGGTGATGGTGGCCTCAGGCTGGACAGAGGGCATTCCAGGCTGGGCAGAGGGCAGCAGTGCAGGCTGGACACAGGGCGATGGTGCAGGCTGGACAGGGGGCAATCCAGGCTGGGCAGAGGGCAGCAGTGCAGGCTGGACAGAGGGCAGCAGTGCAGACTGGACAGAGGGCAGAAGTGCAGGCTGGACAGAGGGCAGAAGTGCAGGCTGGACAGAGGGCATTCCAGGCAGAGGGAAAGAAAACACAATTAGTCATGAATGCAGTCACTCGGAACTGTGTAAGTATTATGTTTTTTGCTATACGTTATATTTATGATTAATATTTTAACACATTATTCATTATATTTATTGTGGTGTCTGTCGTGTATTTATATGTATATAACACATTTCTTTGTAGGTCAACTAAACAACTAAGTATTGACAGTGTGACTGTACTGATAATGGTACTTACCAAATGCTCTTCAGGGACCTGCTGTGGGTCACCTGAGACACTAACAGGAAGGGTGATGGTGGCCTCAGGCTGGACAGAGGGCATTCCAGGCTGGGCAGAGGGCAGCAGTGCAGGCTGGACACAGGGCGATGGTGCAGGCTGGACAGGGGGCAATCCAGGCTGGGCAGAGGGCAGCAGTGCAGGCTGGACACAGGGCGATGGTGCAGGCTGGACAGGGGGCAATCCAGGCTGGGCAGAGGGCAGCAGTGCAGGCTGGACACAGGGCGATGGTGCAGGCTGGACAGGGGGCAATCCAGGCTGGGCAGAGGGCAGCAGTGCAGGCTGGACACATGGCATTCCTGGCTGAGCAGAGGTTGACGAGTCAAGACTTGGGAACGTCAGATCCAATGAATGGTCCTCCTCAAACCCTTCATCTTCTTGTTCGTCTTCCTCTGCCAGGTCCTCCAGTAAGCCCTCAGTCTCCTCTGAGTCCGGATTGACGTCTTGCAGGGGCAGTCCTGTCTGTCTTAGCAGATAGTCCACACCAATCAGCTCTCCTAGAAATTCAAGACAATGTTATTTAAAAATATATGCAAATATGTACTTGTCTGAAGAAAGCAATTAATGTAATAATAATAATAATAATAATAATAACAATGTTATGTACCAGTGTACTTTGCAGGGGGTTGAAAAGATGAGACGTATTTCCTGCCAAAAACCTTCAGGCTGTTGGTGTTCACACAGTGAAGGACATCCCCCGCATAGGTCATCAGAGAGGCTGGCTGGCTAGCCACGGATGCAGCTGCTCTGTCCTGATTCCACCTGCTGAGACCTTCCAGGAGGTACAGCTGAAAATTTAAGCTGTTTGCAGTGGTTCCTAGAAAAAACATTTATAACCAAACATTTTAGATAATTTAGTAAAAAAAAATATTTATTTTGAGATGGCCAAGATGACTGGAACTAACCTGGAATAAATCTCTGCAGATGGCAGTGAAATGACTCCAGTGATGTGGACCCCCTGGCACATCTGTACCTTGTAAGCACAATGCCCCCCTTGGTGGTAGTGCCTGTTTCTGTGTATAGAGGTATCCCTGGCACATCCTGAATACACCTAATGTGTCGTTTCTGAACACGCCAGATGTACTCCATCCTCACCTTGTCAAGCAGAGGGATACCCATTAGGTCTCTGCCCTTGTCTCCTAAGAGCTCGTGGAGCAGACGGTCAATTAGCTGGATGGTGGTCTGCTCTCCACGAGTTCTCCGTCGACAGTGGAAAGCCAGGTCATTCTTAGTAATGCGCTTGTCCACCAAGGCATCACTAATAAACGACACACCCTCCTGTCTGAGCTGCTCACGGACTGCCCGGCGCAGTAAAGCCACATCTTCTGGATCCCACTCAAAAATACAAGATGACAGGCCAGCCATAAAGGTGGGATACAACGCATGGGCGTCTGTGGTGCACCCTGCAGACATCCTCCGCATAAAGTGCCAGATGTCCAGCCTAATTTGGAGGTTGGGCCACTGCGCAAACCGTTGCTGCAGCTTGCTGAGTCCCTCCTCCACGCAGCAGTGGGAATCCACATACAGGACCTTAGGAGGAGCCACGCCAGCCTGGCTGTATCTCTTCATCAGGTCAGATGTCATCAGGTTCAGACCTGCACCCTCCTCAGCAGTGAGAACACTGATGAGGATTTGACCAATCTCGTTGCCCACAGAGGTCAGCCAGAATGCCGTCCCCCTGCCTATGCCAGCCAACTTCTTTGTGATCTGAAATGAAACAAAAGTAAGTACATTACAGTTATGACATTTGCATATACAAACACACACATTTATCTGGTATGCCTACATTATATTGTTAATAACCTTTTTAGTTGAGTCCATCTTTAAAATGGACCCAAAGGTGGATGTGATGGTGGCCTTGATGTGATCCATCCGGCTGATGATGTCTCTGCCATACACAGACAGGAGCCAGCGACTGGTGGGCACATCTATTGGTTCAGGGGGTTCCTGGCAGGCCACTGGGAAAAGGCTGGGGCGGTTCACAAAGCTTGCACACTCCTCCAAGTAGTGGGCCAGCCGGTTCAACCATTCCTCACCGTGGTTCTCCTTTAACTGCTTCACCAGTCGGGTAGGGCTGTTACCCAGAGTCCGGTCCCGAAGCAGACGAATAACGCGGATGTCACATGCATACCTTGATTAGAAAATATGTACAATTAGTTAATATAGATTTTTAGACCTTTTTAGTACTTTTGTTTGGTAAAATACTTCAATACAACAATAGCTTTAACCACATTACTTATGACTACTTATAACTACTTAATATTTTCAGCAGGCACTGATTCAAAACTTTACTGAACTATTATTTAAACTTGTAAAATTACTGAGTAAACTCACTTCTGTGTCAGGATGAGACGGAACATCTTTTGATGGGGTAAGTCTAGCTGGTCCCGGACTGTCTGACTGGTAGACAAAAACGTCAGGCGACACAGAGTACACCTGAGGATCTCTGTCACCAGCAGATAGAAGGTATCAATGTCCAGGACTTTGCGCACTCTCTTATGTACACCATAGCCAGTCAGCTGCTTGCCACAGGTTGGACAGAACACCCTAACTTTCCACTGGTGGTAGGGCATCCACACCATGAGCCGGTGGGTGAAAAAGCGATCTGGTGTTGGAGCCTGATGGTAGATGTGCAATGGCACGGGAGGCTCATACCACAGCTTTAAGTCGGGGCGCAGCTTTCCGGCATGGTAGAGGGCAGAGGCAATCCATCGTTGATCCTGCACTGGAATCGAGTTCTTCATCTCAACAGGAAGCCAAAATGAAGCAGAAGCAGGACCAGCCAGATCCTCACCCTAAGTACATGACATTAAATATTTTTTTTTAAATTCTTGTTTCTACTTAATTCTTTCTACTTCCTTCCATTCAATCCTTTATTAAGACTTTTTAAAAAAAGGACTGAATGGAATTATTGTTTTCAGCATATGAACAGAAACTAGTGTATTGTTAAAATAAGAACTTACAACAGAGCTGGCAACAACCGTAGACATGGTGGTGGGTGTCTGTGCAGGACTAATACAGCCTGCAGTAGTGGTCCTCAAAGCAGCCTCAGAAGGACTAGGGCTACCTGAAGTGGTGGTCCTAACAGATACCTCACCAGGACTAGGGGTGCGAGGGGTGCCAGGAGTGATGGTGTAGGTCTCATCAGGACTGGAAGGGATGACAGTGTAGATGGATGTACTGCCAGTGCTGGCGCTGCTTGAGGTGACGGCAGGGCAGGGTAGTGGCTAGAAACAAAGAGACATTATAAGGAAATTAAAGAAGTTATAGTTCAAAAGATTTATTCAAGATGATTCATTTGTCGTATCATGCGTACCTGGCATGGCTTACGAGAGACCAAATTAGGTTTGGCCACAGCACTGTGTGTCCCACCAAAACGTTGCCTATCAAACTAAAAGAAGAGGAGCAAATCAAGTAAGTGGTTTAAAAACATCTACGGCAAAGAACATAATTGTGTCTGCCTATAATAAAGCAACAATGGTCAGACAGCATTCATACATATCAATGCATTAAATATTCACCATAGACAAAGTTAGTGCAGGTTGGCGAGGGCTCTGTACTGGGGAAGAGGGGGAGGCTGTGGTTGTGACTGAAGTCACAGGATGACTAGGGGCCTGAAAAAAGAACAAACAGATTATACATACACATATATAGACATCACATCCATTTTTTGAGATCTTCCTCAGCGTCTGTTCCTGATATTTTAAAATTTACCCTGATAATATGAAATCCACAGTTGCAACTCCGATACCCGCGAAACAAAGTGGTTTGTCCACGGGACTGCAGTGGACACTTCTCTATCTACAACAATTCACAATACATAATTTATTTCAAGATTTAAAGCTGAAATGTTGTCATCTTCTAGCTACTACATGAAAACCATTATGTATTTGCATTGGGGTACTGTACCTTCTGATAGAGGTCATACCACTTCTTTTGTCTGGGTGCGGGCCGGTTGCCTGCGTCAGAGGGCCAGATCCCAGAAGCAGCAAACCTCTTTAGGCGTGACATCCACTCGTCATCCCCCATAGCTTTGTGACTTTTAGAAGTCATCTTTCACTAACAGTAACAGACTTACATAAAATATAGACATGTATAGAGATATGTATGTATATATATATATATATATATATATATATATATGTATATATATACTTGTCTAGATATTTTAGGATAACATTATATTGTAATTATGCTATGTTCTTATAAAATTGTTACATAATTGATTGCACTGTTTTATAGCACTTAACTGATTTATACTGATTTATATATATACACACACACAAATATTTCCACAGTCTCTCCCACTCCTTACTTTCCCTCTCCCTCCCCTTTGTTTTGTTTATTCACTCAGGGTCGTATTTCCTCAAAGTAACGTTAAGTAGACATGACACCTAGGCCTATTATAGTCAGATTTACAGATTTTTGACGGTCCTAAATAGCCACAAATATATATATATATATGTAACCAAACTCTGTAATGACTATGTTTACATAACATTAACATTACGTGGCTGCCTTGTTTCTAATGACAATTTCAGCACGTTAAACCGCATTTCCGAACTAAAGTATGACTTTACAAAGCAGACAATGCGCATTTGATCAATACAGTAATTCAACTCCAAGGAACCGTGGGCGGTTCAAACCATCCGACCTGGCCATTCGCATCGACATAACTTGCGTATCAGTTCCATTTCCAGAGTAATTACTGAACGATACGCTTCAACATGAATAACGAAATAGTAAGCATGGATTTTACAGGGTTTAATGGCCATTCATTCAATGCTCTTTATCTAAAGTCAGCGATAGCAATCTTTGCTCACTGCCATGTAAGTTAGCTAACGATGTCACACAAACAACATGAGAAACTACACAGCGTTAGCGTTATACCAATAGAAAACATAAAAATTCATTTTATTTAACCAATCCAGAAATGTTAACCTTTATTAATTGGCCTGCAACCACATAGCAAGGTAAATAACACTTTAGCTAGCTAGGTAGGCACACTGTTTACATACCGTCACGAAGTAAAATGTAAAAAAAAGCAAAATGACAAACTTCTGTGTAGCTCAGCAAAATTTGCGGACTCTGACTGACGGCTGAGCAGATAAAGCCCTCAGAAATGTAAATGACTTACCTACTGCGGTGACAGTGACAGACTCCTGTATCCTCTAAAGAGTGATTTGAGTTTTTGAGGTGTGAGAGCAGTCTCTTCTTTTTCTTCTTCTTCTTCTTCTTTCTCGATAGGTGACGGACTTCGGCAATGGAAATTACAGTATTTACAGTATTTATATACTGAATAAAGATTTGGAGGGAAGCCATTTCATTGGATTAAATTTATATCGTACGAGCGGGAGAGGTTTTAATTCGCTATTAGCTCAGTATCGTACGAGCGGGAGACGTTTTAATTCGATTAAAAACTAAACTTTAATTCGCTAACTTTATTTCGAATGTACATCAGAATTAAAAACATTACATAACGTAAACAAATAAACTCTCTCATATTTTTCAGACAGCCAGCTCTTTAAATTTCCCGGGCCAGGGGCCACGCATCTTCCGGTTTCAGCTCCCCCGCTCCCCGCTTGGCTGTGGTTGGCTGTTGTCCATTTTCGTCCGTGAAATGAGTGGCCGCAGCTGCTGTGAAAAAGGAAACGGAGCGCTGCGATTCGCGTCGTCCATTTTCGTTCCTTTTTCGTCTTTGATGGTGATTGGTCGAGCAACCCACACTCATGTGTTGCAGGT